AACCAGTGTGCTTTATTGGAGGGATCGGAGAGGTGGTCAGTGTGACCCAGACCGAGTGCAAAAAGGAGGTGAGGTTGGGGACAGGGAGGTGGTGCCACCCAGTGCCGTGTAAGGACCCAGATAGGGTTTTGAGTTTTATTCCCAGGGCACTGGGAAGCCTCAGGACAGGTGGGTGAGGAAGGATGACAGGATCCGATGTGCCTGCTCAAATTGGGTCAGAGGGGATGAGACACGACATTGGGCTGGACTAGGACGGTGGTGGGGAGGGGGTGGGTCAGGGACAGGTGCAGGATGTATGTGGATGTTGTGGGGGGAGGGGAATCCAGGATGACCTTAACCTTGTGGCCAGAGCTCTGGGAGGAAGGTGGGGGCCATCCATTACCATGGGGCAGCCTGGACCTCGGGGGGTCAGAAGTCTAGCCTTACGCTCTGAGATGCCCTGTGAGCATCATTCAGTCAGGCCCAGCCAGGGAGACAGACTGCTCTGCATATTTCAGCGGAAGGAACCCTGTGCAGGTGATTGACTGTTCCGGTCTGCTGATCAGAGGTGGGACTGTGAGGCAGCACCAGGGACCAGCTGTCACCTTGAGACTGGAGGGACAAAGCTCGGATGGTGTCACTGACCCTAGGACCAGGGTCACCTAGCTCAGCAGGAGTCCCAGGAGGCAAAGCTGGGGATGCCGCCCAGGGTGGGGTGTGTGTGTGTGTGTGTGTGTGTGCACGCGTGCGTGTGCTTTCTTCCCAGTCGGTGCTGCCTTGAAGATGTAGGGGTTCTTCCTAGGGGCTGCTCCCTGCCCACACAGCCACCACCTTGGACTTTGGAGCTCCCGGCCGACCCTCTTGAGGGCCACCCCCATCCTAGCCATCTTGAACTTGGGACTCCTTTTTGCAAGACTCCATCTGCCAGCTGCGTGTTTGGACCTTGTGGAGCTAGGCCCTGCCTCTTCTCTGTTGGGGGCCCCCTTCTATGAGACTGAAAGAGGGAAGAGCAGTTGAAGCCGCAAATAAAGAATGTGGGGAAGGCCGGTGTCTGAGCGCTGTCTGCATGCAGGGGTGGGGGGGTGTCTTGTTCTCTGAACAGCACCCAAGTATGGATAAATCCAGTCGGTGTGCTTACCTTGGCCCCTCGGAGCCCCGTGGCTTGGCCTGGCTCCACTCTGTGTCTCCTAGCTGGGGTGGGAAGCTATTCTGCTCGTCCCTAGAAAGGGCAGACCTAGGGGAGGTGACCTTTAGCCTTTCCTAAGATCCCTGTGGCAGGGAGACATCAGGGAGCCCCTCCTTTCCTTAGGAGGGAAAACAGATTCCCTAGATCTGGGGTTTTGGGTTTTATTGTGGCCTCTGACAGAAGAGTGGAGGCAAACAGATGAAGATCTCACAACTCTGGATTCCTCGAATACAAGAAGGCTCTCCCGGCCCAAACAGGGACCATCGCAGCCACCTTCATCTCTTTGCCAGGCCCCTAGGGCAAGCCAGAGTGTGGTGCTGGCGGTGGAAATGGGCCCTCTGTCGGCCTCGTGGGGCTAGGGAGTCTGGCTGAGAGGTAAGCACCATGCCTTCCCGTTCAGCCAGCCCCCGGGCCCCAGCTGGTGGCTTCCTCTGATGGTTAGTCGAAGACGCGGCAGAGAGGAGCACTTAGGGGTGTTTGGGTCTCCAGTGTGGTCCACGAAAATCATCGTATTTTCAGATTTATGGGCAATGGAAGGGACTTTCGGGGATGACTCTGCCCGCACAGGAGTTCTGCCCTGATGAGCTGTTGGTATTGCCTCACCTCCATGACTTGACTTTGAACTGGTATCTGCTGAGAACCCGTGCTAGGCGGTTCACTTGGCCACATTCCGGCCCAACAACCGGATGAGGGAGGTAACTGTGTGGTCCCGTTTTGCAGATGAGAAGACAGGAAAGTTCATAGACGTCATTTATCTGTTGAATGACTGCTGCTGGGTGACTCAAATCTGAATGCCCGACCACTGGGCCCCCTCACTCCCTGAGGAGGGAAGCCCCAGGGAATAAAGGAACAAGGAGGAGACAAGGTCACAGAGAAAGCAAAAGGGATGTTGAGCAGGTTCTTACTTCGCCCACCTAGCTGATAGCTGTCCCAGCACAGAGCAGGCACTAGGGAAGGTGTTTGAAGTGACCAGTTTCTGTCGGAGATGAGGCACCATCTCCCCACCAGGCAGCTCACCAGAAGCAGGGCATGCTGCCTCGTGGAGCCCAGGCCAGTGGCACGGTCATCCTGCACCTCCAGAAAGGAGCTAAGGTGGTTCTTCAAGACTTGCCTGCGTTACCATCAGACCTTTGGTAAGGACCCTTCCGCGCCTCCTGCCTGCGACTGTGCCTTCTGGGGCAGAGCATTTGCACTGTGACTGGGTCCTTTCCCTGGGACGCAGAGCTGCCCTCTCCAGCTCTTGTCCAGACTGTGCAGCTCCCCCTGTACAGATGCCCTATAGTAACTGTCCCCCCCCCACCCCAGTTAGCTGGCACCTCCCCCTGCTGCCCACGTACCAGAATGCAAGAGGCTCGGGGAGTGTGAGAGAAAGCCTGAGCAGGGGAGCATGAAGGTCTGGATTTGGGGGTCTATCTATGGCTATCAGTGCCTACCTAAGGGCTTCAGGGAAAGGGGGGGACTACAGCACTCTGGGTAGGGAGTGTTGGATGTTTGGTGTGTCTTTTACTCTTCTCAACATCAATGCTGGGAGGTACAAGTTTGTGCCCCCATTTTGCAGATCTGGAAACTAAGTCCCTTGCCCAGGGACTCAGGGCAGATAAGCAGGTGAGCCCAGATTCTGATACAAGCCTGCCTGACAGTCCATTGCCCCTCCCCTGATTACGTCTAAAATCATGTCCCTTCTCTGTGTCCATGTCTCCCACCTGTGATCACTCATCCCCACCTGCAGTGAGCTCAACACTGTTCGAGGTGCTGGGAATTCAGCAGTGAATGAGGTCGCTGCCCTCATGGAGCTGACAGGCCAGCGGGGAACCAGATAGTAAATAAGTAAATGATGTGGTATGAGATATATGGCCAAAAAGGGCGATGAAGGAGGGGAAGGGGGCTCAGTACTCGCTATGGAATACAAGGTGGAAGGGAAGGCCTTTCTCTTAAGATGGCATGTGGGCAGAAGAGAAAGAATGAGCCATAGGGACATCAGAGGGAAGAAAATTCCAAGTTGAGGGAATAGCTAGTGCAAAGGCCCTGAGGTGGAAGCACAACTAGCATTTGAGAAACAACTACAAGACTACTGTGGTTGGAGTCAGAGGGAAAAAGGAGATAAGGTCACAGGGAAAGCAGAAGCAGATGGTGCAGGTCCTTGGGCCACAGCAAAGGCTCCGGCTTGCACTCTGCAGGAGGAGCCATGAGAAGTTTCAGAGCGCAGGAAGAATATGACCTAACTCAGGTGTTCAAAGGGGTTTTCTGTGGGAGGAAACTAAAGATGTGGAGATAGGGCAGGGAGCCCAATGAGGAGCCATTGCATTAGTCTAGGCTAAAGAGGAGGGTGGCTAGAATAAGGTGGGGGTAGCAGAGCAGGGAGAAGAGAGGTTCTGGGTATATTCTGAAAGTAGGACCAACAGAATTTGTTGACAGATTGGGGCATTGGATAACAAAGTGACTGAGCAGCTGGGAAGATGGGGTTTGCCATTTCCTGAGAGGGGGAGCCTGGGAGGAGCAGGTTTTGGGTAGGGAATCTGGAGTTAGGTTTTATTCTATTTTGAGAGAGAGTGAGAGTACTTGCGGGTTGGGGCGGTAGAGAGAGAGAGAGAATCTTAAGCAGGCTTCATGCCCAGCATGGGCCCGACACAGGGCTGGATCTCACGATCCTGAGATCATGACCTGAACCAAAATCAAGAGTCAGATGCTTAATCAGCTGAGCCCCCAGGTGTCCCTGGAGTTAGGTTTTTATATTTGAGATGCCTATTAGATATTCCAAGTGAAGATGTCACTGTTGGATACACAGATGGAGAGAGAGAGAGAATAACAGCAAATAATACAAATAACATATTAGAATGTTATAATATTATTATACATAATAATATTAACAAGTTTATTAAGCTCACTCTTTGGTCTCTCCATCTGTTTTGCCTCTTGCTCACACAGTAGCCATATGACATATTAGGGATTATCCTCAGAGAGGAAACTGGCTCAGAGGCTTCTTGATTCACTAAGATAACACACAGGGGCGCCTGGGTGGCTGAGCGGGTTAAGCCTCTGCCTTCCGCTCAGGTCATGATCCCAGGGTCCTGAGATCGAGCCACGCATCGCATCGTGCTCTCTGCTCAGTGGGGAGCCCGCTTCCCACCCCCCCCACCCCTCCCACCCACCCCCACCGCCTGCCTCTCTGCCTACTTGTGATCTCTGTCAAATAAATAAATAAGATGTTTAAAAAAAAAGATAAAGCGCCTAGTAAGTGGCAAGAGTCAAGATCGGATCCTAGATCTGCCCCATTTTGATACCAGATTTTCTAATCTGCTAGTCGCTTTTGCAGTAAAGAGAGCTGGGTGATTTTAAGGATTAGTTTTAGCTCCAGGGAGCCTTAAACGGGGCAGTTCTCTGCTTTGGAGACAAAGGACCCTCCCTCCCCGCCGCCTCCCCCCCACCCCCGCCCGCCCAACCCCGCCCCGCCCCTCCAAAAAAACTTGTTAGGGTTGTGTGTAGGCCAAGAGTCCATAGGTATTGAGTTAGTAGGGGTAGGGGAGGGGCTCGTCTATTTTTTTTTTTTTTTTTTTTGAGCATTTTCTGGTTTTGATGATTTTCAGGATCCCTGCAGAACTTCATTTGGGCAGCTTAAGGGCTTAGTGGTTTCACTTCGTTAATGAGTACACACACACACACCCCACCGTTTAGCGAGGCAGGAGGCTTGCCACTGTCGTTCACAGCAGGCTGGGGTCAAGGATCTGACTCTGGCATCCTTCCACACCTAGGCATCTTCCCTGTGTCCCCACACCCCTCACCCAACCTCCTTCTCCACCCAGATTCCTTCCCTGGGACAAAAAGAATGTGGGCGGGGTTGGTTTTCGGGTTTTTATTGTGGGTGTATTTCTGGTAGCGGGATAGGGCGGAGGGGCAGGCCCTCCCACGAGAGGGCAGAGAGGACAGAGGGGGGCGGGGCGGGACCGGTGGAAAAGGCGGCGCGGGGAGCTTCTTTACTCTCGGATCTTCAATTCCCGCGCCATCTGACAGAGGGCGCAGGGCAAACAAAATGTGAGGGCCGCCCAGTCGTGCCCAACAGAGCCCTAGAGGGTGGGAGAGAGAGAGGTTAGGAGCCCCGCCTAGGGTCGCAGGAGGTCAGTCCCCACCCCGGCCCCGCGACTGGCACGCACCTGGATGTGATAGCGCTCCCGCATGCCCGTGCGCAGGGAGTGCAGGCCTCCGGGCAGGTAGGGCGCGCAGCAGCACTCCCCGAAGTCGTCCGAGATGCGGCAGGCGAGGCACAGGGGGGCGAAAGTGCCGCACAGACCTGGGGGCAGGCGTGGGGCAGTCAGAGCGGGTTCCACCCGGCGCCCCGCGCCGGCTCCGCCGCGGGGAGGGGCGAGGCCGATGGTCAGCGGCGCCCAGGCGAGGGTCCCGGAGGGAATGAAGGGTCCCAGCGCGGGTGGTTTAGGGGCTGCGAGGTGGGGTTTGGAGGGGGAGCTCGGGCCACAACGGGGAAAGTTGAGAGTACAAGGGGGGAGGTTGAGGGTCGCCGGGGAGCTTGGAAGAGGTGAGGTCAGGATCCTAGGGAGTGTTGGAGGTGGAGGAACGGGTGAAGGCAGAGTGTGGGAATTCAGGGTCTGAGGCAGGGAGGGGGCGTAGCGTTGGTGGGGCCGCGCCCCCTCCCAGAAGGAGCCGCCTGTACTCACAGACGGGCATGTCGTTGCAGCAGTCCGTGAGTCCTGTGTGCCAGTCACTGAGCTGGGTCTGGTAGCAGCTGCTGGCGCACTGGGGCTGACTGGTCACTGGGTAGGACATGGCTGCGAGGGTGGTGGGCTAGGGTCAGTGGGCAGCCCGACAGCCCCTCCCGGACCCCACGTCCCTGCCGCCCCTTCCTCTGCCGGGCAGTCTGGGCGGGGCCACCAGGCCGCCCACGGAGGGGACACCACTGCACCCCCCCTCCTTTCGGCCACGTTTAGGCACTGACACCCCAGTCCCCATCGCCACTGCCTCCTGCGCATCTGGTTGAGCTGTGGGTGGGGAGCTCCTGCAAGTTTGGGGAAGGGTGGGTGCCACTTCCAGGCGGGGCCGAGAGGTGCCGCCGCCGCCGCCTCCTCCACGTCTGGGCCTGGGGTGCTGGGTTCCCGCATTTCCAGGGCCCTCTGGGGTGCAATCAGGCGCCATCTGTCTTCGAAGCCATGGGTGCCCAGGGGAGGGAAGCTGCCAGGTTCCAGGGACTGGAAGGGTTGCTGGTTCCTCCAGTGATCCCACCTTTGCCTTTCACGTTGTCGTGCATCTCAAACTGCATCTTGCTGGCCCCGAGGAGGTGGCGGCGTTGGGGACGGCAGAGGTGGCAACGGAGACAGTGGCTGAGTCCAAGGGCTGCGGGATACTGGGGTGGGGGGATGGGCAAGGAGCAGGGGCACCGGGGGCTGGGTTCTCAGAAGGGCGCTGGGGAGAAAGAGGCCAAGTCAGCCTTCCAGCTGGCAGAAACATGGAGTAGGGAGGGATGTATGGGGTGAGGGCGAGAAACTCGCCCGTCTCTGTACCACTGCCCGACAGACCCCAGAGGACCTTCCTCATAGCAGAGGTAGAGCTGGAGACAGAGCAGGTGAAAGAGAAGGCAGAGTCAGAGACAAGGAGAGAAAGAGATCAGAGCCAGTGCCCAAAGAGATGCCACCAGTACCACTCACACTTGTCCAGTGCCTTATCTTCTCTGCAAGTCCATGTCACAGATGGAACACTGAGGCTCAGAGAGGTGAGGAGAAATGCCCCACATCCGATGGCCAAGGCCAAGGGGGTTAGTAGAGGCAGTGCTGGGCCCCAGAACTTCCAAGTTCAACCCAGCACCGCTGAGGTTGAGAAGGTGGACACGGAGGGCATTGAGAAAGACAGAAACGTCCACTGAGACAGAGAAATGCAAGGAGACAGAGAGGTCAGTGGAGCTGGGTGGGGGAAGCACAGAGCCGAGGGCCGTGGGCAGATGCTCCTACCTGCAGGACAGCGATGGCAATGATGCGGACAGGTGTGGGTGAGCCGGGCACTGAGTTCTGTCTCTGGCCAGGAGCTGCTTATATTGGGGCGGGCCACTCAGTCCTGGGCGGGGCTCTGGCGGAGGTGCCCAGGGAGCCCAGCCGGTCTGGCTGACCCTCTTCCCCCGGCAAGAACTTCCCCTCCCTTGCTCTCCATCTCCCCTCCCCCCCTCTTCCCCTCCAGTTCTTGTGGGACCAAGGAAATCAGGGAGGGGGGCAGGGATGCAGAGCTGGCAGAGCTGGCAGAGCTGGGAGGGAAGACGAAAAGGGGAGCAGGCAGAGAGACTGAAGGCTGGAGGAGAGAAGGCAGAAGGGAGGTGTGAGGAGTGCAGCTGGGCCACAGTTAAGAGACAGCAAGAGAGGGAAGGCAGAGAGATGGGGAGGAAATGGGGGACACAGAGACAAAAGGGGAGAGGTCCAGATGGGAGAGAGAGAGAGGGGATCAGAGAGATGGAGAGAGACGAAGACATAGAGAGGTGAAGAGAGAGATGCTGAGACAGAGAGGGTCAAAGATCTGGGGAGAAACAGCGAAGAGGAGCCAGATTCAGAAAAGAGACACAGAGGTGGAAAGTGGAGGGGCAGGGAGGTGGAGGAAGGAATGGGGCTGCAAGAGAGTGCAGTGGGGGTTCCCCGGCCTCCCCTGTCCCCTTCAAGGGGACTTCCCCCCCACTTCCCTAGAACATTCCCAAATGTTCTCCCATTTGGGGCCACCAGGCACATGGGGGGCAGTGTGTTTTGGGGGTGACTCGTGCTGAAACCAAAGTAAATATACACAGTTCACTCCACCTTCAAACTGGGAAGGGAGGAGGCTGGGAACTGAGAAGCTGTGGCTCTGGAAGGAGGTGGATGTGGCTCAGGACTGGGGTGGGGTGGGGGGTGATAATTAACAGAGCAGATGAGCGGGGAGCGGGGCCTGGACTCCTGAGTCTGAGGGATGAGAGGCTGGCGCTTTATCTGGGCCCCTAACAGAGGAGGGGGAGGGGCTCAGATTCTGGCTGGTGGTGTAGACTCCTGGGTTAGGCTGCGCTGCTACCCTGAGTGTGCAGGCAGGGGTCCTGGGATCTTTGCTGGGCTTCCGAGGGGTGAAAAGAGTGAGGGGCCTGGAAGCCTGAGTCACCAAAGTCTGCCCCCAACAGGCCTGGCAGGGTTGGAAGTGACTCAGTGAGGGAAGCAACATTAGAGCCGGGTGGGGTTTCCAGCACGGGTGTCACCCCAAAAATGTAGGAGGCGCTGGAAAATTGGGGTGTCACCTGCAGAGAAGGTGTCACCCCACTGGGAATGGATATGGGTGATGGCAGGTGGTTCACCCTTTCGGCCTGGGATCCCAGCTTTTCCCTTACCTCCTAATCTATCACACAGCAGGACCCAAGCCTTGGTCTCCCAGCACCACCCACATGGCTCGCTATCCTTGTCCCCAGACTGATGAGTGGCACTTGGCATTTTGCTGGTGCATGTCTGTCCCTTGGTCCAGGAGCCTGAACGTCTGGGGAACGTCTTCTCTCCACTTCTGGTCTAGGGTCCCTGTGCCCCCATCTCTGCATCGTCACCTCGCCAGCTCTGAATCTCTTTCCTGATCTCTGCCAATCTGTTTCCAAGTTGCTTGGGTTCTCTCACCCCCATCTCTGATTCTCCGTTCCCCCAAGCTGTGTGTCTCCTGCCCTCATCCCAGGGTCTCTGCCTCCCATCCCCACATCACCATCTCCAGGCCTCCCTGTGGAGGCAGCCCCAAGGCCCCACCCCCCAGCTGGATGGACCATGGGCTGCAGGTGACTCAGGGTCAGTCATCTCTGAGGACCCTAAGGCTCCCAGGATGACACCCCGACTTGTCCTCAGGTTTCCTCTCCCCACTCCGACACAGCCTGGGGCTGCAATTAGACAGAAACTCATGTAGATGAGGAAATCGGGTGGGGAAGCTGTGAGGTGGCTTGCTTAGGGGTGAGGAAGAGGGCAGGAGCAGGAAGAACTTGCACCTGGGGGCTGACCAGTGGCCATGGTGGTCTCCACGCCTGGCATCCATCCCCTCAGTAGGGTTGCCAGATAAAATATAGGATGCCCAGTTAAATGTGAATTTCGGGTAAACAATTTTTTTTTGAGATTTTTATTTCTTTCTTTGTCAGAGAGAGAGAGAGAGAGAGAGACAGCACAAGCAAGGGGAGAGGCAGGGAGAGGGAGAATCAGATTCCCCGCTGAGCAGGGAGCCGGATGCAGGACTCGATCCCAGAACCCTGGGATCATGACCTGAGATGAAGGCAGACACCTAACCGATTGAGCCACCCTGGTGTCCTAACAATTTTTTTTTTAGCTTAAGTATGTTCCATGCCATATTTGGGATATACTTATACTAAAAAAATTATGTGTTGTTCATCTGAAATTCACCTTTAACTGGGTGTCCTGTATTTTTATCTGCTAATTCTGGAACCCTGCCTTTAAAGACAGAGGAGAGGAATCCAAGTCCCTGGCCCCTCTTTTTCCAGAACCCAGGATCACAGACCTCCAGCTCTTCCTCCTCAGAACCTGCGAGTCCAGGTCCCGATCCCCAACCTCCTGTGCCCTAGAATCCAGGATGGGAGTACCAGGAGTTCAGGATCCCATCCCCTTTGTCTCCAGAATCCAAGCGTCCAGGACAGGTCTGGGTCCAATTGCCCAATGTGGGTTTCATAAGGCGGGTGGTGCCACCCCGGGCCCTCGTGGAACCAGTCAGGCAGAGCGGACAACTGAGGTTGCCCCCTCTTCCCATCCTGAGCCTGCTACTTCCTCAAGAGCCTGCCCAATGGTGCTGGGAGCAGAGCAAGAGCTCAGTGGAGTTCTGGGTGGGACTGACTTTGGGTGTGTTGGGTCTCTGCGTGTGGTGTGTGTGTGTCTCTCTCTGGGTGCTGTGTGTCTCTGTGGGGGTTATCCCAAAGTCCCTATGTGTTCTGGGGTGTGACATGTGAGGGGGTCTTTTCTTTCTTTCTTTTTTAAGAGTTTATTTATTTGAGAGAAAGAGAGAGCATGAGAGGGGAGAGGTCAGAAGGAGAAGCAGAGTCTCCGCTGAGCAGGGAGCCAGATGCGGGACTCGATCCCAAGACTCCAGGATCATGACCTGAGCCGAAGGTAGTCCCTTAACCAAGTGAGCTACCCAGGCTCCCAAGTGAGGGGGTCTTTTATCCGAGGTGCATTTTTTTTTCCTTCCCTACTGTGCATCTGGCTCAGGTGTGGTCAGTTGTCATGGTTCTTTAACTCTGACTGGATTAAGGAAGGAATGATTTATTGAGTGGTTGTCTCGTGTACCTGGGTTCAAATTGTCACAGCCTCTTCGTGGCCGGGAAAACTTCGGCCAATGACTATGCTTGCCTGGACCTCCCTGTATCCATCTGCAAAGTGAGTGCTGGCAAATAGGGTGGTTGAGAGGATTCCATGGGTTAGTTCATGGGAAGGGCTTTGAACTGAGCCTGGCCCTTAGGAACATTTTGTGATGACGGCGAGGTGCTGTTCTAATTGCTGGAGATATAGTCGAGAGCAGACCAAGTCTGCTCGTGGTCTTGGCCGGGACTGAGTGCGTGCCCTGCCCATGGCTGGGCGTGTAATTGCATACCTAGGGTGTCTGATTTGCATGTGGAATAAGGTATTTCTGTGTGTGTTGTCAGTAAGGGTGATTGTGTGATTGTGTGCTGATGTTTGTGTTTGTGTTTGTGTTTGTAGGCGATCACGTGTGGTGCCCATGATTCTCTGGTTGTGTGGGTGCAAATGAAGATCCCACTAAGCAGGTATTAAGGGCACATGTTCGCTGTGATCTTGCCTTTTTTTTTTTTTTTTTTTTTTAGAGAGGGAGAGCGAGAGATAGCATGAGAGCAGGGCTAGGGGCAGAGGAGAGAAGCGGGTCCCCACTGAGCAGGGAGCCCGATGTGATGTGGGGCTCCATCCTAGGACTCTGGGATCATGACCTGAGCCGAAGGCAGATGCTTAACCGACTGAGCCGCCCAGGTGTCCTGATCTTGCATTTCTGACTCTGAGATGCCGGCAATGTGTCTGTATATTGTGAGCTGAGAGTGAGAAACCCACTCTCAGCTCCTCCTTTTCATGTCCCCCAGGTGACCCTCGGAGGGCAACTCCTCCCAAAACGAGCCTCAGTTTCTCCTCCTCCTCCTCCCAAAATGAGCCTCAGTTTCTTCTTTTCCTCCTCCTCCTTCTTCCTCTTCTTCTTCTCCTCCTTCTACTCCCCTTCCTCCTCCCCTTCTCCTCCTCCTCCTTCTTCTTCCAATATTTATTTATTTATTTGAGGGGGGAAGGGGCAGAGGGAGAGGGAGAGAATCTCAAGCCGACTCCCAGCTGACCATGGAGACCATCACAGGTCTTGATCCCAGGACCCCAAGATCATGACTGGAGTTAAAAATCAAGAGTCAGATGCTCAACCAACTGAGTCACCCAGGTACCCCAAAGTCTCAGTTTCTTCTTATTGGGGATGAGGGGTCCTGTGGCCTCAGAAGAAACCCTTGTGTGAAAGGGAAGGTGGGAGGAGATGGGTGAGGCCAGGGAGAGGCTGAGAAACACAATGGGGCACAGAGGGATGGTTAGGATGGGGACGGAGGAAGGACTGCACAGAGAGGTTGTCCATTCATTTGATACACAGTTGCTGAGCTCCTACGATTTGCCAGGACCTCTGGTGGGCATTGGTTCAAGATGTGGGGAAAGCAGAGAGACCCAGAGAGATGTCCCAGGGTGGCCCATTTGTCTCCATGGTGGGGCTTAGTGACAGTTCTGAGTAATGGAGACACAGTGGTGGAGAGGGACAGAAAGGGCCCTGCCCCTCCCTAGTCCTTCCTGAGGCCCAAACTGTCCAGATGAAAGAACAGAAGCCATGGGGGTAAGGCCCCTCCCAGGCTGGGGGCACCCCCATGAATCATTTTCTTATCACTTCCTAATAGGATAATGACACACCTACCCCCTCCTAATCACTATTTTTTACCCCAACCGGGTCCAACACCCACAGTGAGGTTGGACAAGTCTGGTATTTTGAAAT